GTAAAAGGTTAAAGGACCAGGGAAGGTCGGATTTGTAAATGTAAAATGGGGGGCGCCGGTCTGCCAGGTACACAACATACCGCATACCTCTTTCACTATTTCCGTCGTAAACAAATAGAGAAGAAGCCCGCGGTGCAAGCGACGGCGAAGGGAAAGAAAGCAGACATGGAGTAAATGTTCGAGTACGCGCCACGTTTGTGGCACGTGTGGCGCCCATAGAAACACGCGACCAGCATGATAACCAAAACATAACAGTTTTTTTCTATTTCAACTGAAATGTACTATGTACTTGGAATGTTACGCTAAAACAGGAAATGTCACGTTAAAGGTTATTTTTTATTAAGTTATCACAAAAATTTCTTTTTAGAGTAGGAATAACCCCGAAATAACCGCAATTGAAAAATGAAGCATCTGTTTTACATCTATGTCAAACGAACGACCGGAAGTTCTGGATTTTGAGCACGAAGCCGCCCCTTTGTTGGATAACAAAGACGTCACAAATTCACGGTGTGGTAAAATTAGTCATAGAAACGAACGAGGATTCAGTTCAATATAATTCAATCGAAATGAACTTTAGTACACTTATAACGTTCACAAAAAATTCGCGTAAAAAAACTTTGTTTTTCTAGTTTCACTCATTCGTAACACATTAAGGACCACAGAGAAATAAGTATGGACCGCAGTTTTTGCACAACACGGGAAAACTCGTGAGCGGTCCTTAATGTGTTAAGATGTGTCCCATCTAGCTTATTCTTTGAGCTTTGGCAAGCTTTGGTTTAAGTCTTCATTATGTATTTTTCATTCAAATATCTTAGGCTATTCCCATCTTTTGTTGTAAATGGCCAGACTTCGCTTCTATATGTGTTTAATTGACCTATTTTCAATCAAAAACTACGTCGTAAAAAATTAGTATATCGAAAAACTTTTGTGGTTAACCACGTGCAGTAACCTTCAGACGAAGCGTGACTAACAATATTTCGTAGTTAAAAAAAACCACAAGCACTTTTAAGGTTAAGTTGATTTCGTTAATGACGCAACGTAAAAGACTCTAAATATGACTTTACTACGGTTGTTAATGAGAAAAATGAGTCAGCCCGTGTCGGTTACACATCAAAGAGAAATTCGAAGAAGAAATTTGTGAAAACGTATACAGTTCTTTTTTGAAGTGAGAATGTGAATAATAATACGATAAATTTGTAATATAATTATATAGGGAAAAATAACAAATCATATAAATAAAGAAATTTCTAAATATAACTGTTAAATAAAAAGTAATATCAAAGAAGGAAAAATGTTGATAACAGACATCAACATACCAACAAAATATTTACTCGTAGAGGAGTGCAATGCGATACAAAATGAATGGAACCTTATCAGTTTTGCTACGGCAATAATTACAATTAACTACTTTTAGTGTTGATAACAGAACCACGCAGACGAAACATAAAATTTAATCGCTTATAAACAACGTTATGAAAATGATTAAAAACATAGATGATGATTTAGACGCCAAATTAAAGCTTTAAAAAAAATCTAAGAAAATGCATCGTCACAATTACAAGCACATAAAAATTGTACATATATAGAAAAATAAACAAAGAATTGGAACAACACTTTAAATTCCAATGTCGTCTAGTCATACTGATTAATAATTAATGACGAAACACTTATACGTGATTTGAACAATGCACTGAAATTAACACAACATTGAGATGACCTAGAATGATTTTTCCAAGTTACTATAAGAAAGAGGCAATTACTAAACTCCATTTGAAATTATTAAGAAGAATTAGTCGAGCGTTTACTAAAAATACCTATGACTCATTTCCTCGCGTTCAATTCGCAGCACCTCTTACAGCAAGCAAATTATTTTTGCAAGCGAAAATTAATCGAAGATTTTTTTTTTAATGCTCGAACTGCGAAGAACTCCGTTGGTGTTGGTAAAGAGACGCTAGGATTCTCTCTGCACACGGTAATATCAAGGTCGTTGAGGTGATGACCTTGCCGAAGAACCGGCACGCGAGTTCTTGGTCATATTTAGTGTTATGTTGTGGTCGAACACAAAATGGATTAAAAAATTTTTTTTGTAACTGTTTATAAAGAGTCTATTTAAAAATAGAGAGATATAAGTTAAAATGTTAGATATTGTCTCGCAAAAGATTATGGTGTATGCCCAAGTTCAATATAATCTGTGCAAAGATCTGTTCGTGCAAAAATGTCATCGAGTTGTGTTAAGTATTCATTTGTGCAAATTACACTGAACGATTAGAAGGAACTAAACGAATAATAAGTATGAGACGTGTTCGATCTGTCATTCCAATCAACGACACGATCAAATAATCGCTCGTACTACTGTTAGTCCATGTACTAAGAAACTACCTTCATGTCGATTTCAGTTGTTGTGAAATTCATCAATTATGCGGAATCAATGTTTAATTGTGTTCGATCGTTCGTTCCCATGTTCTAGTTAATTTTACAGATTTGAATCAGGGAATTCCATTCTGGTTGTTTAGAACAATATAGATATAACATATCCGAATTCGATTTCTTTTACTTGTTATGGTATAATTTATGGTCATCCAGTCAATATGCATATTAATGCAAAATTAGTATTTTGGTATTTAGAACTGGTGAGGTTTGAAGCAACCTCGAAACGACGGTCTATACTTGAATTTCACACGATTTATACCATACCTCCGTTTTACCTGGTCATTTATTTGACTGACCATTAGACACTATCAGTATCATTAGTACTATATCATTTTCACCAATGAATTCAAGCGAATTGAGGCTAGAATTTCTCACGTTTCAAATTGCTGAAAGGTCACCGCGGAAATAATAGCCACGATTATACATAGAATTCTCTTGAGTAATTGATCCAATCCACATTACATCGAAATTTTTATTTACATGGTATCATACAGTAGTAAATATATTAGGTAAGCAAATAAAGATATTATTCACTTTTAAAGTGAATAGTATAGGTTATGGAAAACTGAATACTAAGTACTGAATAAAACTTTGCTGATACAGATGCTATAATGAGGTTGTAAATTCAAGGATGAGCCGGTCATATTGTTTATGGCATGAACTGGTTTTGTAATCCTGAATTTGAATGAGCAATACCTATTTAAGGATCTACTAAGGTTGCCTACTGAATTTGAAGCGCAATGCTGCATCGCTTTTCATTTATAAATAATATAGCTTGAAATGAAGCAACTAAATGGCGATGAAGTTACACATTCAACAAACTGTAATGACGTCATAATTAAGATGCAGTAATCCAATTAATGTAAATTGTATCTTTTGGAAATTAATTTCATCTTGTTTTTTATGAACAATAAAATACAATATTGTGCTTTATATGAATACAATACTGTTTTATTGTTTGATTATTTCATTTTAATTGATTATCATAAAATCTAGGTGAGAAATTAAAAAAAATTTAATGCAAGTTTATTAATTCCCTTTATAGCTTTATTCACAATCGGCGGTACAAGTAAGAAAAAGTATTTCTTTATCTTCTTATTACTTGATCAACACTATAAAGATAACGTAATATAACCTTTAACGAGCTAATATTAATAAGGAAGTTTATGAAAGTATAGGTAAATACACTTTTATGTCGCAGTTACAGAGTGACTAAATGTTTGTGTCGTATTTACAACTTTCATTCATATTTTTCCTGATACATTCATTTAACGAAAGAAAGATAAAATTTATCAATACCTCGTATTCATGTTATATTAAGAACACTATTTGGAGTTTGAATTTGCTTTTCTGTGCAGTGATCATATCTTTCTATACCCTCTATATCTGCTATAAAGCAACAATACTACTGACAATCTTTTCACACGTACTTATACTCATAATCAAAATAAGAGCTTCAACTCTACAGTCTGGGCGATGGCCCCTAAGAGAAAATCTAGCGGCAAGACGGTTTTAGATATTACGATACATATTTCAGTATGTGTGTACAATAATGAGATGCAAGCCGAGTGCAAAGCCAGAAAAATTCCTGCCTGATGCAATAAAAACCGACGAAGGCAACCATAAAATCTTTGAGAAAAGAAGAAGAAAACATGAACTTAGGTTTCTTTTGCTAAATATAATTTAGTGTTTTTTTTTTTTTAACTAAAACGCAGTTTTTGTAATTGTCCACCTTTTCACTTTATTAATCATGTTGCTCATTCGATGAGTTCTCAGACTCATAGACAGCATCTATTCCTGCAGCAATGGATTTCGCATATAAATGTTCTATCACGTAGTCGTCGTCATCCCAGAATTTCCTTGCATCCTCTTCCAACCCCGTGTGTGTGAAGTAACATCAATACACAACGTCTATGCAAGTAGTTACTCTTCAAAAATTGGTATATTTTAGAAAAACGATTTTCTTAGTTTAGGTTGTTACTAAAAAATGAAGTTATATGTTTGATTTTAATATTATCAACGCGCAGTAATGGTTAAATGAGTTGCGCTTTACCAAAATTTGGGTGGGAATACTGAAATAAACGTGAAAGAGTCTAGGGATGGGTTACCTGGGCGTGCCTTAACCTAATAACCTATTTTAATGTGTCAAAAACGTCTTGACAGGTACTGTCAAATGTCATATAACAAATTTGAACAAAATTTGATTAGAAAAATGTATCTTTAGCAACACAAAAATGAAAATCATACAATGAATAATTTATTTATGTTTCCGAAATTAGACAAACTTCACTTCTTTACGTTTAAATATAAAATTAGAAACTCAAGGATCTCTAAACAGTTGTAAATAGTGGTGACCTAACATATTACGTCAACGAAACCCAATCAACTTGACCACTACCAGTACTACCACACACGGTCGTCCTACAAAACCAATTTCTTTTTTTTCCTTTATTTTCACAATCGCAACCATTTGAGGTTATGTCCATAAAGTTCCGATTATAAACGAACATCAACGACGTAATGATAATACAAAGTGTGCCATGCAAAATCATATTAATGCGCATACTAACCTAAATCCTCTACGAGTTTTAACATGACGCCTCCGATGTGTAGATCGCCTTTTACACGTATAGATCTACCAGTTTGAAGATTTGTCACGTAAACGATCAAATCCCATGATCCATCACCAATTACTTGCCCGTTGGACATCATCTTGATTGTTTTTGTTTTTTGTTTCAATGATTAGTAGAGTAACATCACTAAATAAGTAGGAGAATTTATTTTTGTTGTGTTGGTTTAAAAGTAATCATTCACTTGTTATTGTCAACGCACTATATTTAGTTTGTAATTATTTTGAAATGTAACGATAATATAAAATTAAATCGTTTTAAAGGCACACGCGGTGAAATTTTATAAATATGATAGGTTATGTCGTTTTATACCGAGTGACCGAACTAAACTGATCTTTCAGATTCGGATTAAATTAAACACGCGTGTTACACGAACTTTGTCCCCACTCTTATTTCAATTTATTTTTAGGCAACCCAATATACATTCATATGTATTTTTAGTTATATGAGTAGGTTTTATATTATTTCATCGATTTTTAATTATAATTTGATTTAAAATAGCGTTTTCGTTATATTGTATCCAAAAATATAAATAACATTTTGTTCAACTTTATTGGATAACATATACTATATTATATTGTAACCATGGCAACTAATCCCAAGATAGTTTATCTGGAGACCTTGAAACATATAATCCTTAATTTTGTGCTAAATTACAAATTTTGGTTATAATTTATTTTAAAAATAACCTTTTGAACAGTTCTTGGGTAAAAAAAAATTTCAAATTTTGGTATAAAAAATTCTGTATTAAGCTTAATATCAACAAAATGAAAATCTTATCACGTATTTTCTACAATTTCTTTCACTTCAATAACTTTTTGTTCATCGGAGAAATATAATATAGCTTTCCGCACTGCATGGTTGCAAATGTTGAAAACGGGATTTGTTCGTTCCTAAAATAAATAAATCACTAACAAAATCTAATCTAATTCATCATTATCTTACAAGTTTATTAGAAGCTGACCCCAAAACATAAACTTCATGAGTGAAGGTATGTTGAGATATTGATAACCCACTTAAAGTATAACAAGTGTGGTACGCATCGCGATACTGTCCCGGTTTATCGATAAGCCCGCCATCGAAATATTGACAACAAATTAATATGTATTCTTGTAAAGCACCCCTGTTAAATAAAAGATCATCGGGTTCTTGATTATCATCTTTTAAAATTCTCGAGATTATTGGAAAAATACCAGCTTGCCAAAATGAGTAACAACCATCAACTAATTTATTAGTTCTACCTTGAAAACCACCTTCATATTTCATTTGCTTATTAACGACCCATCTCAGTAAAGATTTCACATCACATAAATGTGCTTTATCCAATAAAACTAAAGCTGCAATCCCACAAAATGTGTATCCCCCATGTGCTTCTAATCCTGGCGCACCAGCAAAACCACCTTCATAAGTTTGACAACTAAAATGATATTTAAACATTAAAAGAAAGAGCAAAGACGAGAACTTAATTACCTTATAATCCATTCAGCTGTACCTTCAAATAATTTACTACTGGCAATGTTGGTCAAATGCGCAACGGCTAAGGCACAATAAACACCCCTAATATCAACTTCACCATCTCTATGCATAATAAAAGCACCTTCTGGGGTACGAACGGACCATAAAAACTCTTCAAGTTTATTTCTATCGATGGTATCATAAGCTGCTTTTGTTCCAATAGTACATAAAGCATTAACTGCAGCATATGTAGTTGCCAAATGCCCCAATTGACCGGGACCACCTCCAAACCCCCCTCCAGGATGTTTACATTTCTCAATAAACTTCACTACACTGTTTAATTGGGTATCAGATAGTTGGACTTCTAATAAAGATAATGCATGTAAAATCCAATAGCACATCCATGTCCTACTTGCATCAATGACCTTAAAATTAATTTGACTTAAAAGTTTTGTTTAATTTTAATAATTTTTCTTACAGTGTACCCAGCAGAAAGATAAGCTAATGATTGACGAAGGAATTTTTCGTGTTCATTCCTTAGTAATTTGGGTAAGTTTCTATCAAGGGCACATTTCTTTCCTAACGATAGAAATAATCGTTCAACATTCGATTCTACAGCTGCCTAAAAGTTTTTTATTTTTTGAGGTTATGTTGTCTTAAACCATCAAACGATAGAGAGATTAAAGTAAAAATTAACGTGAATGAAACGTACTTGCTCATCGGACGTAGTCGTCGGAAAATTTTCGACGTTAACCTTATACTTTTCCAGGTTTTCGAAATCTCTTAATCGCAATGCCATAATTGCACGAGTTTCGACTCGAACATAATAAAATTAATAGATGATGAGAAATGTACGCATGGAAAATATATTTTATTAACCAAATTTGTATTTAAAAATATTCGATTTGTTTTATAATTAATTTTTAATATTTTTGTTAAAATTGATAAAGAAATTTGGAAAATAACCACAATTTTATGATTAAAATATTTGACATATTTGACGTTTATTTTAGAGATGCCAACAGCGAAATAAAATATTCATTTAGTTTGTTGATTTGAATTTTTTGATATTTTAAAATGTTATTTGTTTCTTTTAAAGTTATTTTGTCGAAATTAACGACAATTTGCTTAATATATTTTTTGTATAATACAATTTAATAATTGTTTTAGTTTGATTATCATACCAATCGTTAAAATTTAAAAATAAAAATTACTTTTTTAGGGGTTCAAAATTAAAACTTAATTTTTCGTTCTTTTTAATGTAGATGAATCAAGGGAATCAAGGGTGTGAAACAGTTTGTATATCTGGGTTCACTGGTTAATACAGACAACAACATCTCCGATTAACTAAGAAGAAGGATGCCTTTTAGCAAATAAAACCTACTAATCGGTCTAATCAGACACTTAAGACCCAAAGGACGGTCCAGGTTTAGATATCTGAAGCAAGTGGAGGAAGATATTGGAACCCTAGGCATAACTAACTATCGTAACAAAATGTGTAATAAGTCAGAATGGAAGAGGATCTTGGAACAGGCATCTTGAAAAGACTCACAAAGGGCTGTCATGCTAATGATGATGATGATGATGTATTTTAGTGGATTTAAGACACATGTTAAGAAAATTAATGAAGAAAAACTGATTGGTGTCATAATAATGATGGAAAATTATTAATTACTCATTGATCAATGTCCATCAATTAATTTAAATAACCGAATCTTTCCCTTATTAATACTTTTTTATTGGTCACGTATCAAACATTTATTGTTATAAATGTGGGCGTGTTTTTTTTTATAGATAAAGCCTCACGAGGTCAGCAACAATAATCAGGAGACTTCTCAAAACAACTTGCTGCAAAAACGTTTCCCCTCTTAATTCGCGTCTTTTTATTAGTATTTTCCTGTTTTATCACGTGAATTTATTTAATAATTATAATTTATCTTTTTCAAAATAATTTTTAACATCAACTTACGTTAAGATTGAATGACGGATGTTTATATTGATGTACAGATGATTATTTAATTAATCACACTAATCAGATACTTTTTACTGATTTACAAGATAATCGTAGATATTCATCATGTTAAAACAAAACGCGCAAAATTAATAAATTTTATTTTTATTCCTTTACGATCAAAGTATAAGAGACTTAAACGTGTAAATTGTGCAAAATATCTTTAAAGTACCGTTCACAGAAATGAGAGAAAAAAAAAAGATTATCTCGTTGATTAGGAGGTGTTAAATTTGAGAAATAAGTGGCAATTAAGAAATTTGTTCAACGAATTTGAGTTTGCGCCCCATTTTTTTTACTTTTAGTGGGGGACGATTTAAAAACCGATTAACAGCGAGTTCTCTCAGTTAAATTTAAGTAACTCTTCCATCGCAGTCGCGTTCTAAAAACAAATTATATCAATGGAAAAACTTACGTATTCCTCATCCGACGATAACGAAGTAAGTTTTTTTTAATAAATTAGTTTTTGATTAATCATTTTTAATTTTCTTATTTGGGTGTTTTGATTCTGCGTATCGTTATCGGAGTTCGAGTGTTAAATGCTTGGTATCTTGAGGGTCAGTTGTTGATTCTCGTTCAAATTATTGTATACACAGTTATCTCCGCTTTAGTTATTATTGTTATTATTCATCTTTCATTTCAAAGATATAAATAATGGTATTATCAAATCAGATTCTGATTTCTCATTAGTTTTGCAGACGTCGTTGTGTAAAATGGTTCTTTGTTCACAGGAACTTGAAGATGCTGAATACATTGATCCATATTGTTGCGAGGAAAAGCCTCAAACCATTACATTTGAGGATATTACCTGCGCTTCTTATGTTATTAAACATGGAATTGTTGAAACACCTTGCATAGTAAGTTTATTTTATTATTTATATTTTAAGATTTATATGTTTTTTTTTTCTTAGAAATCTCACTTCTCAGATATAACTGGAATGGATATTTATTTGAAGAAGGAATTTTTACAATACACAGGAAGGTGAGTTTTACCACAAGTTTCAAACATTTTGATTTATTTCCGGGTATAAGTTTTGGATTATTTTTTTAAATGTACATAAATATATTCTTTCTTTCTTACTATATATTCTGCATGTCGGAATTTTGATCCATTAAGATTCTTGAATTGTGTTGTAAAAAACAATGGATACAATGAGTTAGTAAATTCCGGAAATTATGTTTTATTTTGGAGTTTTACTATTCAAAGTTGGTAAATTTTATGATTTGCAAATAGACGTAGAAGTGGTTGTGTATCGTATGTGTACGAACTAATTAGTGCATCATGGCATTGTCAGAACATTTTATCAATTGATGGATGAACTCATTGCTCAGAAAAACTCGGATAATAATTTTTATATCACCAAGGAAAAGTACACTTCTCTTTGTGAAGTGAAGGTGCTCAATAAGCTTATTGCTCAAATTCCTCACAAGATATTCATTATTATATATGTTATGAGGAATTGTTTAAATTATACATGAAGCTTATCTCGCAACTGGTCATGGTCGCAGAACGGGAACACTGAAAGAGGTTAATCTCAAATACAAAAATTTAACTGTGGAATTTGTCGTGCAGGATTTGTTGTTATTCGTATTTTGCCAAAAGAAACACAGTATGTCCAAAAAATGACTTGTAGCAAAACCAATTTTACATGGTGGAATGAACTCCAGATTTCAATGTGACTTAATAGAATAGATATGCAGTCCAACTATGACAAATTTAAATTTATTATGATATATCAAGGCTTTCTTACGAAACTAGTAATTCTATGTTCTCTTTATATCAAATGGGTTCAAGAAATAGCATATCAACTACTTGACATATTCACTCTATTTGGAGCAGCAAGTAGAATGCAGCAGAATGTAGGATATCAAAATTGTCCATTGAACGTGCTAACCAAAGTATTCAAAACAAGATCACTTCACAACAGAGCTTATCATGAAGGCATTAAACGTTTACTATTATTATTATATTTTCTCCCCACAGCGTTCTGTTCTTCCACAGATCTTCCTCCACCTTTCTCTCCTTCATCTGTCTTAATCTCTTTCTACGATCATGCGATTTCCATTTTATGATATGTTTGGGAAGTCGATTCTCATCTATTCTTTTAAGATGACCAAACCATCTCAGTTGTTTCGTTTTTATATCATCTATGATGGAGCGTTTCGCATTCATGATTTCTTGGATTCTTACATATCTTATCTTTTCTCGTTTGCTTCGAATCCTCAAATATCATATTCCTCTATCAGGTTTCTACTCATATCTTCCAGATTTTCTGTTTGGTTATCTGCGAAGTAGCGTGTGTACAAGATGTTGTCATTTCATGTTGTAAAATCTGAAGTGATACTGGTCTGACTTTAGACTCCGAGATAAAGTTGCACTGTAGTGATTTCAGAAATAGAGAATCGGTGTGAAATCACACTTCCCAGATCTACAGACTTCCCAGGTAGGTTTGAGATTCGTAGGTCTTCTCTTTGAAGAGAAGAAGTTTTATAGTGTCTCCAACGTTTATCACATGCCATAACTTAGTATAGTCAACTGAGAGTAACTCAGTGTTTTTTGAAGGAGAAGATGAAAACAGTTCAGCTATAAATGACGGCATAGTAAATAGCAAAACTGATATTGGAATGGGCGAGGAAGCTATTAGCTCATAAACACAAAAACCACAAAAATCTCGTCGAGTTTTAGAATAACTCTAATTTTTTTTATCATTTTCTTAGTTGACACTCCTAATTATGAAAACAATAAAAGGAATTATTGCATTTCTAGTAGTTAATAAAGAAAACTTTTAAAACAAATATTGTTACATATAACAAGTATAACGATGTGCTAACTTTCCTTCCCAATTTAATTTGTATCAATACAGATTTATGCAACGCAAAAGATAATTAAAATAACTTTAAAATCACGTCATATCCATGTAAATAGAGCTAAATAAACAACATACAAATTTAAACTGCATATTTATGTCGACGTCTAGAATAAAGTTTACAGTAAATTCAGACAAACCTTTTTAACACCTATTAGACTAAAATTATATTAGGATAGGTTTAAAAATATACCTAGAGAAATTACACATAACTAAAATGTTCAACAATATTATAATATACAATATACAGAAATTTGTTTTGCCATTGTACTCAGCTGGGGAGAAATTGATTAGTACAGATCTTTTGGATTTACACTTTGCTGTTGAGTTGTAACACTTGAAAGGAAAATTCTCCATCAACTTTCTGATTTTCACTTATACAGTAACTTGAAACTTTGCAACTTTCGTTTTAGAAATAATTGCGTACGTGAATAATCTTCGTCAACTTTTGATAACGTTCTAGTTTCCTCTGCAAGGTCAATGACACCTTAATTGCACTTAGCGGCGGAGACAATCTGTCACTACGAATCAACTACTATATGCACTTCCTGGTTATAACCTGTTGTGGTATACCTGTTATTGCCTTTATTGTACAAAATGAACAAAGTAAAAGGTGGATTCGGAATTAAAGATACCTAAATCTTTAATCTTCATCCTGATAATGTTGAAGAATTCTACCAATTCTTTTCGTCTGTATTTGCTGCTTTCACCCATGATTAATGGTTTTAATAATCTTAATATCACGCAAGTATTTTAATAACATTTAAAAAATAACGTATTTCTGCAATAAAATCATAAATAAATAATAAGAAGAAAATATTATTCCGTCTACGAATTCCTAACTAATTATTTTAATTTAAAACCGAAAATACCAAAAAATTAGTAAACAAACACAGAAATTGTTTATCGGTTTAAATAGAATTTTAATGAGAGTGTTTTTCTTCAAGATCATTTTTTGGTCTATTTTAATGTCTGCAACAATTCTTTTCCCTGGACTATCAAATCCGGATTGTAAAACCCAAAACACGTTGTTTTTAAAACAATTTTCTTATCACTTCAAATCGGTTTATGCAAATTACAAACAGATTCATTCCCGGACTTTGAACCAAAAGATGATTAAAGAAAAAAAATCATTTCAGGCTTAAATGCGTTACTATCACGAATTTATGATGTTATTGGTTGGGAATTTTGATAATTTTTAGTTTTATTTCATATATAACTAATCAATAAATCCGTTTTTGATAAAATCGATTTTTATTTTGATAGCTTTCTAAAACAATTTAATCTAATCAAAAACTGATTATTTAAATGACTTATTTGAATATAAAATATAAAAATTATTTTAACATCACAACTATAAACTTAAGTCTAAAGTATTTTTCTTTTTTCTTTTAGTTTTAAAGAAAGAGGAGCAAGATATACCCTTTTAATGTTACCAGAAGAAAAGAGAAAACTTGGCGTAATTTCTGCATCTTTAGGAAATCACGCCCAAGCTTTAAGTTACCACGGTTTTAAGCTTAATATTCCAGTAACCGTTGTGATGCCAATCGTAGCTCCAATAATGAAAATAGAAAAATGTCGAAGATACAATGCAAACGTTGTCGTTCAAGGTAAAAATATGGCTGAATCAAAAATAATTGCAATGAAAATTGCCAAAGAAAAAGGATATACTTATATAAACGGTTACGATCATCCTCATATCATGGCCGGACAAGGCACAATTGGTTTAGAAATTGTTGAACAAGTTAAAGATATTGATGCCGTTGTTGTTCCCGTTGGAGGAGGTGGCTTAATAGCTGGAATTTCTTTAGCTATTAAAACATTAGCACCACATGTTAAAATTATTGTAAGTAAAAAAATTGTGATTTCTTTTCACAATTTTTTAATATTGATGTGATTTTTTTAAGGGTGTCGAATCTGAGAGATGCGCAAGCTTTTCAAAAGCTTTGGAAGTTGGAAAACCCGTCGAAGTTAATATTGGCGCAACTTTAGCTGATGGTTTAGCTGTTCCAATGGTTGGTTACAATGCTTTTGCGACAGCTAAACCACTTATTGATAAAATGGTAATGAAAATTATTATATTAAAAATGAATTTGTGTAATTGTGGTTGCCTAATTTAATTATTATTATTTTTCAGATTGTTGTACAAGAAAAATGGATAGCAATAGCAATTTTAAGATTAATTGAATTAGAAAAAGTTGTTGTTGAAGGAGCTGGCGCTTGTGGATTAGCAGCAATTTTAGCTGGTCAATTAGATGAATTAAAAGGAAAAAGGGTGGTTTTAAATCTTTGCGGGGGAAATATAGATACAACAATTTTAGGAAGATGTTTAGAAAGGGGATTAGCTGCGGATGGAAGATTATTAAAGTTCGTAGTAACCGTAAGCGATAGACCTGGTGGAATAAGTGATTTGTGTAAATTAATCAGTTCAGTTGGAGTTTCAATTAAAGACATTTTACATGAAAGAGCTTGGGTTACCTGCGATGTGTTCAGTGTTGAAGTAAAGGTGGTTGTTGAAACGATAGACGTTGACCATGCGATTCAGTTGAAGAATCTTTTAACATCTACATACAAAAAAGTGCATTTTGTTGATTTTCCTGAACATATGAATGGACTTAATGGTAATTTAAAGATATAGAAGAGTTTTTAATTGTGTTTTAGTCTGTGTAATATTAAAATAAATAAATCGATGCTTAAATTTTTTTATTTAACAAAATTTGTAAATAACAAAACGTTTTTTTATTGGTCCTTTACATTATTTTCTTTATTATTCACATCTTATTTTTGAAAACATTTTGCAGCAGTTTCCATAAATGTAGCCAATTTGACATCACGTTCACTTAATCCATTAACATCATGAGAAGATAAAGTGACTTGTACTTTGTTATAAACGTTGAACCATTCTGGATGATGATCCATTTTTTCTGATAACAAAGCTGTACGGGCCATGAATCCAAAAGCCTAAAAGAATTATTCAAATTTCCCGCATTAAATTTTTGACAAACATAGTTACCAACAATTAATATTAAATTAAGGGCATTAAAAATGATTAAAAAAATTAAAAATCTTACCTGATTAAAGTTTTCAAACATAAACTCTTTATAAATCGCATCTCTATCGTTTACCATAGTCCAACCATTTTTAAATAAAGGCTCCAATTTGGTTTTGCGATCATCTACGGTTAATTTTCCAGCCTGTAGGAGAAAAATCAATAAATTATTAGTATAAATCTTTGTTTTTAAAATTAAGTAAGCTAAATTAAATAAAAAGTTTTTTTTACATGAAATATTTACCATTTTCTTCTTGTTTTTAACTCCTGTTGCTTTAACACTGGACAAGGTTATCGAGCGAATCTTGTGGTGAAAGTTCTGGGTCGAACCAATTCGAAGAAACCCGATCATTTCTTTTAACATTACGAAATTTAATTGATAAAGACTGTTAGGTTTTTGAGATTACGCTTAAATTTATTTAACGTGATATAAAACCTGATTTAAACAAAAAAAATGTTGAAAATTTTGTACGGAAATACATCAATGTACACCTCAATCGTTTTAATGTGACGAATGTAAAAAAGAAAACTTAAATTTATTAATTATTTATTATATATAATGTTTCATGCATTAAATAAAGAGTTAATAAATGTTTAAGTAATTATATATTTCTTATTTTAAAGTCAGTTTAAACGGATTAATTTATACATTCCATGAATATTTTGACAACCACGTGACGTTTGTGTTTGACAGTTTAGAAACCTAACCTCAATAAATGTAAATAGTAACGTGTTTTTATCGTTTAATTATAAAAATGGTTAAATTGGATGATATATTTAATTCTTTTTCTAAAATAATTGAACAACCGGAAGATTTTTTAAGGTAACCTTTTTTTGTAGCAATAAATTTAATTAATTAATATCATAACCTAAAAAAATGTAGCCCGGAAGATCAGCACACGGAATTGATTAAACGTTTATTAAAAACTACTTATGATTTTACAAAAGAGGAAGAGATAAAGCAACGTAAAATATCAGCTTTACCTGAATTAATTGTGGATGATTTCGATGTCGAACAAATATGGCAACAACAAGAATTACAAAATGAAGGGTATTTAAGCAAGACATTAATTGATGTTAGTAAATTTGTTGTTAATAAGAACAGTTTAATGTTTGATGAACTAAAAAATGAAGAAACGAATGATGTTGATGAATCTTGTTCTGAGAAAGAAGAGGAAGCGGATGTAAATGAATCTGATAAAGAAGAACCGGATGATAATTTGTCAGAAAATGAGGATGATGAAAACTTAAAGGAAGATGATTTTAATAACAAAAGATATAAAAAATCAATAGTTGACGACGATTTCTTTAAATTGGGAGAGATGGAGGAGTTTTTAAAAAATGAAGAAAAAAGATTTGAGCAAGAAAATGATGAAGGTGATTCAGGAAATGACACTGAATCAGATGAGGATGATGATAAAATAAACGACAATGAAATCGATTACTTTAAAGCAGATGAAATAGATGATGATGAAGAAGACGAACGGTTATTAAATCCCAGATTTAAAGACTTTTTTAGAAAACAATATGATCAGAATGAATTTCAAGGAAAAAATGATGAAAATTTTGATGAAAATAATGATGATTTTGATGAAAATAATGAAAATCAGAATGATTTTGATGACAATAATGAAAATCAGAATGATTTTGATGACAATAATGAAAATCAGAATGATTTTGATGAAAATAATGAAAATCAGGATGATTTTGATGAAAATAATGAAAATCAGAATGATTTTGATGAAAATAATGAGAATCTTGATGATTTTGATGTTGAAAATAAAAACCTTAAATCAACTTTTGAATTAAGAGAAGAACGTTTAAAAAATAAAACCAATATAATTGAAGAAATTGCCCTTTCAAAGAAACCATGGCCTATGTTAGGTGAAATAGCTGCTGAAAATCGACCAATTAATTCACTTCTTGAAGAAGTTGTTGAATTTGATGTTGGAACAAGACCAGCTCCTGTTATAACAGAAAAAACTTCTTTGCAATTAGATGATATTATTAAACAAAGAATAAAAGATAAAGCTTTCGATAGTGTTGAAAGAAAAGAAAAATTAGCTGAAACTCCATTTGAATACAAAAAGAAATTAATTTTGGATCAAGAAAAAAGTAAAGAATCATTAGCTCAAATTTATGAAAAAGAATATCTTCAACAGCAAGAATCATTAAATCCAAACAAAGATGATGAAAAGGAAGAGGAAGAACCCCAATTGCATAAAGAAGTTAAAACTATGATGGAATCCCTTTTTAAAAAGTTGGATGCTTTATCTAATTATCATTTTACACCAAAACCTGCCGTTCCAGAATTAAAAATTGTTAATAATTTACCAGCTATTAATATGGAGGAGGTTGCGCCAACGGCAACGAGTGATGCAAAACTTTTAGCGCCAGAAGAAGTTAAAAATCGAATTAAAGGTGATATTATTGGGAAAAATGAGCGAAGTGATACCGATAAAAATAGAGAAAGGAGAAAGAAAAAGCGTAAACAACAAGTCCATGCTTTACGTAAAGAGAAAAAAGAGGCGTTAATTAATAAACTTAATCCAGGATTAGGGAATAAATATAGTAAAGAAAAAGCTAAGAAACAATTAGAGAAAATTGTTAAAGATAAAAATGTTGATAAGGTAAGTTACATTTTTAATTTATCAATTTAAGTTTAATTGGATTATAATAAATTTATTGACCTATGAATGAAAGTTTGATAGTGAAGTAGATAATTGTCAATTATTTGTTATCAAAACAAGCCACTTGTGTAAACTATATTGTTCATTGATTTTAATCAATAAATTATCGCCGTAAAAGCTAATTAACAAGGTATTGTTGTATTTATTTCAGATGGACGAATCTTATGGATCAAAATCGGTGAAATCATCAACAGCATTTTTCAACCAATTACAAGATGAAGTTAAATCCCAAATAAAAAATAAAGTGCAAATGAAGAAAAGAAAAAATTTAAATAACACAGGTTTAAGCGCAAAGAAAATGAAACTTTAAAAATAATCCTTTATAATTTTATTGCAAAATTAAATTAATAATAAAAATCTTATTTTATCGTTTTCTTTTTTTATTCATTGCTTGATGACTTGGTGGTGTTGGTAGAGGCAATTTTAATGTTACCACTGTTTTATCTTTTATAAGAGGCGTAAAAGACAATATTTTACATAATTCCTGCAACTTTTTAATACCTTGCTTTAAATCTTTTGAGAGGAGTTCTATACTCATTGTATAATCACATCCAATTATACCCAATACTAAAATGTAGCAAAGACATTTATCTCGCATTGATAATGGTCTCATTCTAAAAATAAAAAATTACAGAATAAAGATTAAAAATTATATATTATAACTTACTTTCCGGTTGAAGTTGAAATAGAGAATTGTTTAAAAATGTGTTCACTTAATATTTGAGAATATTCACATGGTTGATATTTTCTAACTGCAATGCATTTAGCCGGTAATTTTATGTATTTTATAAGATATTCAATATACAAGAATATTTCAGCTTTTAATATATCCTGTTGAGTCAAAGAACTTTTTTGTAGTTTTAAAAGTTCTCTTTTTACAAACTCTGATGTCACTCTAATCAAAATAAAAACAAAAAATTATGTTTTTGTTGAAAATTTAACACCAATAATAAATACATCATACTTTAACTCATCATTTTCTTCGTTTAATAATGAATTTACTTCTTCTTCTAATTCTGATAAAACATTTAATGGAACCAAAGATTCTAATGGATAAACATCTTTTACATTTTCTGCATCTCTATTAATAGGAGGTTTATAACTAGTTTCCAAATTTTCAGGATTATGTGGTGCTAAATCAGCTTCATCAATATGAGTCTCTAAAAATTTAAATTTAATAATTAAACAAAGATTGATTAAATTAAAGTTACCATCAACAACTTGTTCGAATTGTTCTTTCATAGTTTGGACATCCAATTGCATTCTTTCGCTTTGCTCTCGAAACTTTCTTTGCTTTTTAGATCCAAATTTCTTGATTAAATCACTGACTGTACTTTTATTAGCCTCATTATCATTAACATCCGGAGATATTTTATTTTTATTTAGAGAAAAATCAAATGTAACTTTGTCAACGGCTATAAATTTGCACTAAAATATCCTTTTTTAAAAATATATCAATAAAAATTGGTATTTATTTACTGTTTCCTTCTTTTTGTTACATATCACTATAAAATTATTATAGGAATCTTCATCTCGATTTATTACCGCATTATAAAAACCTCTATCAGAAGTAATAATTGCATTTGTATTATTTGTGATGTTATCTTTAAATAGGCCACAGGACAATTTGTCTTCCGTACTTGGTTGTATAATTCCATTTTGGAAATTACCTAAAATTAAAGAAACTTTGTTATATATATGTTAATTAAATTTAAAATGAATATTTACCGATTATTGGTCTCAAAGATGATTCATCATAAACTATTTTTTTTATTCTAGCACTATTCATATCAAAATCATTAAGTTTTAATTTACAAATAAGAATTTTGAATCTTTAAGCGTGTGTTAAAATTTGTAGGTTAATTTTTGTGTTTGACGCCCGTTTGACGTTTATTTTTAGTTATTTTTATTTTATTTTGTGTAACCGACACGCGTGTTGAAAAAAAGCGCGGCGAGTTCAAAATTAACATTTTTATACTACAGATGATTTATAACCGTGTTTTTGGGGGAAAATTGCTGATTTAAAACAAATTTATCTTACTCTTAATCCTGTGGTAATCCGTAGTTCTTACTTAAAAAAAATTACGATAAAGAATCATTCAATTTTATTTTTAGTTATTATGAAAGTTTGTAGTTATTTATAAAAAATATACGATTGATATTAATCTTTAATTGAAAATTGGAAGAATCTTATAGAAATAAATAATTTAAGATTGAAATTTATTTAAGCCGTGATTTTCGGCCCATTTCCCTCATCAATTGTGATCGGAAAATATTGGAAAAGGTTATCGTGAATGGAATAGAGTGGCAGCTGGAGAATGAGACGGTGTTTAATGTTTCCATGAGGAACATGGGCTTGATGGCCTATATCAGTTATGGGGAGTCTTTTTCTTCTTTACTGCTTTCCAGGCGTCTTGCCTTCCATCGTCTCAATGCCAAAGTGTGGCTTGTTTAAGAAAGTAGGTGTGATGTAGTCTGTGCGAGCTTCAACGAGGGGTTTTTTATGAACAGCCTCACTTCAGAGGGCCCAGAATTCGCTCCGAACTCTTCTTCAACCCAAGTCCTAAGACAACCCTCCAGGATTCTGAAGTATAGCTTTGCAATGATATTAATGAGGCAAATTACCCTGTAGTTAGCAATATATTGGTTCAAACACCAAATTTTCCTAGATACGAAGAATAAGAAGAAAATGACATATCACTTCATTAAAAAAGAAAGGTTGTTATCTTTAAAATATCAAAAATGTTCAGTGTTCTTCAATTTCTTTATTTATTTTTATAAAAATGCAAAACGATCGATTTCGTTTGAATTTATTTATAGATATATCATAAATTTATTATCTTAATTGAGTAATAATTAAAAAAATCGAGGTTAAATTGTAAGGGTCGGCCTTACAATTTCACAACTTATTCCGAGCTAAAAAGGAGTTGTGAAAGCGAAAAATAAAATAAATTAAAAAAGTGTACAAATTTTTAAATGTGTACAGATGGTCTTGCATCTATCATGTAAGTTTTTCGTCGTTCGGGCAGAGGTTCAGGTGGTACATAATTATCTCCTTTGTAACGATAAAACATGAACATTGTAGCAGCACTAATTAATAATAAAACATTACCAGTTATACCAAAACCCTACAAAATAAGATTATCATAACGTTTTCTTACAACAAAGATATTTTTTTATATTACAGTAAAACTTCGATATAATGGTTCTCGTTAGAACGGATTTAGGATGTAACGAACAAAATATTTATATATATTTAAATATGGTTATGGGGAATAACCCAATATAGAACTAACAGTAGAACTAACACTAGAGCTAGAACTAGAAATATTCGAGTTTAGCCGTACGTCTCTTAGGCGGGGTTTTCATTAGCAGAATTAGTGGTAAAGTATATTGGGTAAGTACTAACTTTCTTGTGAACTCGCCTAATGAAAACGTAAGTGGTATAGCACCGTGGTAAAGTTACTCCATCGTGTACAGAACCGGCTTCTTCATCTCATTTTTTTACGTCATCTTTAGCACAGTCAACGTATACAAGTCCATCGTTAAATCAGTCAATTCCTCATGAATATGAGAACATATCAGACACTTCATCATTCTACGAGAGCCTATGCCTGTTTCTTATCCAGTTTCTGCACCATTTTTTCTTGGTTTTATTTTGTTCTTTCTAAACAGCTACAGTTACTTTTTCAATCAAGAGTTGTAACAAATTTTAGCCTTTATACATTGGTCTCTAACACTTTTGCCCTTAGATGCATCAGTAGAGAAATATTTGAAAATATGAAAATTGGAAGAATTCGTAGTTTCACAATTGGTTAATGAAAAAAAAGTATTCCAAGCATGATACAGAAAAACTGTTAGAACAAAAGTTGTAGCAAATTTTACCGTTTACACATTGCTTTCAAACAGTTTTGCTCTCAGATGCATCAATAGAAAGTTTAAACCCGAAACTTTTGCCGTGAGTCTAAACCAGAATGTTTCTAGTTCAAGGTGGAGTGTTAGTTGTAGTTCGAGTAGTTAGACTTTTGACTATAACGGACACTCCCTTCCCCATATAAATCCCCGTATTAATCCATTATACCGAGGTTTTACTGTATTTTTTATTTGTATATTTTACGAATACTCACTAATGGAAAATATTTTGTACTATTGTTCGACGTAGTTGGAGATTTAGCGATAACGACGCAAATAATACCAATTATCGGCAAAAATATATTTAATACGATGTCCTACACGAGAAAGATAGATACAATCAATTTATAATAATTAAATTAATTAACTTAATAGGTTATTAAAAGGTAATATTGTTTATAAATATTTAAAAATGATTATTATTAAAAGATTTAATTTAATTTCAAGAGGAGTAGGATAACATTTACAGTGTTATACACCTCGATTCAAAGTCCACATTTCCAGATATTTTATAAATTTAACATCACTATCTTAATTGAAACGGGAAACACTTTGATGTTTTTATTATATATCATATTTCTTCGTATTACACAAAATTTCATGATATAAATATAATATATAAATAGAAATGAAATAAATATGATTAAAAACTTACAATTTGTAAATACATCCATGGTTTTTGTCTTGCATGGCCCAAGGTAAATATCATATACAGGATGAACGACGAAAAAAATATTACAATATTTGCGACTGAGTATACGAAAACTTTTACTTTAATTTCCGGTTGTAAAGATATATAAAATGTTACACCAGCAAAAATAAAAACCTTTAAAAAATTGTAAAGATTAATAATAATTAATTAATTGTTTTTGAAACTTACCAATCCTAAAACTTTAATAATTCCTGATGGGTAAAATATGAATTTTCCCGGTTTTAACTTATTTCGAATGAGTTCATCCTGCGTCATGGTAACGATTAACGCTCACATTTAGATCTGTAATTGCAACGGTGTATGCGACAGGTTGTTTTATTATCCGATTTGTAAAGTATTCATTATTTTTTTTCAAATAACTTCACGTCATTTTTCGAGCGGAACCTTTTAATTTTCTCATTAACGTGTACTTATAGATTAGATTAAAGATTAAATGTTTTTTTCAAAGTCAACTACCGAATTACGTTCTAAAAAAAGATGTGTTATTGATACAATATTTATTTTCTCTTAAATAAAAATTGGTATATGCAATTAAAATTAAAATTTATAAAAATGTATGCAACCAAATATAGATACAGTAATAGGTACCAAGTTCTGGCATTTCACTATGTTTTTAATAGTTATATTATCTTCGACATCTTATTATTTTTTTGTCAACTTAATAATTTATTGGGGCACGATCCATCATGTAGATTCGAATGACGCGTTTTCTGGATCTTATGATTCTGTCACATTTAACATGACCTCATGGACATTGATTATCTTTGCAAGTATTTGTAGATACGCTATGAGGAGAAAAAAGTTGTTGAACCAAAAGGTATTTGGGAAAATCACTGAGGCGGTTAAAAGCTGAACATCAACATCGCAATGTGGACCATATTGGTATATTCAGGATAAATTCCTAATATAAAGAAGAGGCCATGTTACAATTAAAAAGAAATTGCCACAAAAATTATTTATTGTACTAATATTTATATCTTTCTTAATTTTATTGAACATATTATAAATCTTTTTATACAAAAATAAATATTTACTAAACATTTATTAAAAAAAACTAGATACAAAAAAAAATGTTAATGAGAAGGGCGCCAAACAGGGGCCTATACATAAAAATAAATTCCTTATCTAATTTTTAAACGACTGTCAGAAGATTTGCTTCTCTAGTTTGGTATTGACAGTAATACAATTCCAGCATCTCATTAGGGTCATCATTTGCTATTGAATAGGTGCTTCCTACCGGAATTAATGCATAGTCATCCTTTTCCAGAATGCGCTGATCATTATCATTTATTTGAATCTTACACCTTCCTCTTAATACCACAAGGTGCTGAAACATTAATTTATTAAACAACGATGACATCAAATGTAATGTTATTTAGAAACAAAAGTTACCATGTAACAATTATCTAAAGTCCTTTTCGATTTCTTGCTTCCACATATTTTGAGGCGTCCAGCTGTACTGGAATCATATGACAAAGGTAAAGTTTCATATACCCCGCTTTCTTGTAAAGCGATGTATTCTTGACCACGTTTAAAATATTCTACCAATTGAAAAGAAAAAAAAAATAACGAAATAAGACGGGTACATAAAAATTAACCCTTTCAATACTAATGTAAGGTTCATATTACACAATTTCGTGTAGAAATGATTTAGCATGTTTTGTGAGGTGAATAAAAATGTAAAAAATAAAAGAAAACAATACAGATTATACAATCAAGCGAAATCCAAACTAGAAAAATGTTAGCTAGTAAAGAAATATAAAAAAATCTAGAAAAAAAAGGAAAAAAAAAAAATAAGCACGCCTCATACGTTTTCAAGTATAGAATTTCAACAACTGTTAAATGGTAAAGGAGAATCACTTAATTGCATTTATGTATTGAAAAGTCAGGTGGCTTAACTTATTTCTGTAGTGATAGGATTAATAGATTTCCAATAAAAAAATAATGATAAATCAATAAATAAATAAGAATACCTCGATATAACGAAATAATACTAAAAAATTTTTAATTTACGCTTTAAACTGTTTGAATGAATAATTGTAATGCATACAAATTCTAGCAGCTATCCACACCGTTACGTTTAGTCTACCTAGCTTTATATTTATACCCAGGACAGTAGAATCTAATAGGATTGCTTTATCCTGGGAATAAGTACACAGCTTGAAGGCCCGTTCGTGACGTCACGCATAGGTAAGCGACTACTATTTCACACTTTGCATTAACAAATGCTTAATTTATTCTATTCGTGTTTTGTAATGCTGTTAGTTTGAGACTTAAGGTTCATAATGTAAATTAAAGATCTTGATTGAGTTTAGATATACCATAATCTAACACTGAATAACAACTAAAACTAGAACTAACACTAGACCTGGAACTAGAAATATTCGGGTTTAGTCGTCTTAAGAGACGTATGGCTAAATCCGAATGTTTCTAATTCTAGGAGTAGTGCTAGATCCATTTTTAGTTCAATAAAAATATACAATTTAGCGCTGAATAACAGTTAAAACTAGAACTACCGTCCTTGATTTATACACTGTATAGACAACTGCCCCCAGTTTATTTAATTAACCCTGAGTGTATCTACAAATATAGAATAGAACAACTTGTGGAATAACCCGAGTTGGATTCTATCTACAGTGTGTTAATTAATCATCATTACTATGCAACCAATATTACAGTATTGGTATTGCAATACGCGATTTGCGTATTTGGTTGCATACTTGCAATGATGACGTCGGGTACAATAATTAATTAACACAGTGTATGTATTAAATAGATAATATTAATAATATGATTTAAAAATATTGTCTATGTTATATCCGAACTCCATTATATCGAGGTTTTACTGTTTTATTTACCAAGTGCTTCAACATTATTGAAATCATCATTTTCAACAATGTGATCATCTTTAGTGATTTCATCACAAGAAAGTTTTCTTTTTTCATTTTTTTTACAACTACTATTTTCTTGTAAAACGTTATTATTTTCTTGATTATTTTTTTTCCTCATTCTACCGCTACTTTTGTTCGTGTCAACAATGATTTCTGGTATTGGTAATATTTCTTCTTCTATTACTTTAAGGTTAGATAAAACTGATTTTTTATTAGATGATTTTGAAGTTTTCTTTTCCCTGTTTATTTTTGATCCACTTGGACCAGGTTGTTCTGGAGCTCTTAAAACACCGGATGATGATGGTTTGTCATTTTCTAAACTGCTAAGTTCAGATTTATTTCTCCTATTTCCTCTCATAAAGTTTTCAGCTTCCTTTACATTTTTCGGAATAATTATATTTATAGACTTGTCGGCTAAAAAACAACAATTACAATTGATAATTCCCAATTGGTAATGACATTTTGATAAAGGAAATAATAAAATTCTATTTACCGAAGCCACGGATAGATTTTGAATCCATCATATAATAACATAATGGAAATTTTGTTTGGGTCCGTTGACGACCAGATCTTCTCACTAAAACAAAATTACTTTTTGTGTAAATCATTTATTAACTTAAAATAAAAAAAAGACCTACATGTTGAATTATTTTCACCAGTAGTATTTTCGCTATTTTCAATGTTAGATTCTTTCTGCTTCTTTGACCTGGTACTTCTTTTTGGTAGCACTTTTGGTTTAGTAAAATTAAATTCAGAGCTTGCTTGTTGACTTTGAATAAGATTTTCAATGTCACTACTTTTTTCAATCGAAACATAAGGAGTTGTTTTCTGATTATCATTGGAAACACATACACTTTCTACGTCAATTGAACTCAAATATACCTCTGATGGTAATAATGAAACTCCTGGTGTTATGTTGTCCTTTTTTGACACTGTCTGTAAAGTGGATTGAAATTTACTATCTTTGTTTGTTTGAATTTTCAACTTATTACTCTTCGATGTTGAATTTTCTTTCAAAACACTACTCAAAGATTCTTTATGTAAATCATCACATTTATTATTTTGTAAAGTTTCACAATTATTTAATTTATTGCTTCTTGTTGATTTTCGTAAAGGTGTATTTTCTTTTTCAGTATGCTTAAATGTGTCTTCATTATTCACAATAGAGTTAATATCAACATTTGAGATTTTGGATGTGTTCTTTTTCGAATTTGAAACAGTTAAGTCACTTTCACTTCCTGATAATGGAAATAACCTTTTAGCTATAGAAGATTTTCTTTTGCCATCTTGAACGATTTTATTTTCTTGATGCGTTTCTCTTAATTCATGTTCAATATCATATAATTCTTTTTCTGTTTGTTTCTGTGCGGTAACTGATTTTTTGTCGCTTGAGAAATTCACATTACTTTTATTAAGAACATTTTTATCTTTTTTACTTAAATCATCAACATTTTCTATAACACCGGACGTTTCAATATTTATGAATCCAGATTTTTTAGTATTTGTTCTTTTTACATTACTTTTTTCTTCACCTTGATTTTGAATATCAGATTTTCCTTTTTTTATCTCCAATATTTTTTTATTTATTTTACAATTTTCTTCTTCAATTGATTCATTAGAATGTTGTGCACCTGTTTCGGAAGACTTTTCATGTTCACAAACTTGATTTACTGATGTTTTACTATATATTTCTTCATTTACTTTTTCTAAATCATTTTGAGAAATTGCAGATTTTGATCTGGTTATTCTGGTATTCTGGTGGTTGGATCTGGTTGATTGATTATTATTTATACATTCCTTCTCTTTTTCATTTAAATCATCAACAAGATTTTTTTTTGATTTTTTAGTGTTTTCTTTTTTTCCCTTTTTCTTTGAAGTAGGTATTTTTATTTTTATTTTCTCTTTACATGAATCTTCAATTTCATTAGCAAAATTTTCATCAACTGCTTGTATTTCTTCACAATCAGATTGTCTTTTGACTTGGTTTTGGACAATATTAGATTTTCTTTTTCTTGTCATCGATATTTTATTATTCTTTTTACCACTGTTTTCTTTGTATGATTTGTCTGTATTTTTTACATTAATTTGGAAGGATTTTCGTTCCTTTTCTTCTTCACTATCTGGAATTATTGATTTTTTAATACTTATTTCTTCATTTATATTTTTTTCTAAATTTTGGGAAGTTGTAGATTTTGATCTGACTTTTCTGGTAGATTGGTTATTATTTATATATTCCACCTTTTTTTCATTTAAATCCTCAACATTTTCAACAAGGGATTTTTTAGATATCTTTGAGTTTTCCTTTTTACTTGAAGTAGATTTTTTTACATTATTTTTTGAATTATTTTCTTCAACAATTTGAGATGATCTCTGTTCAATTTCTTCATATTCAGATTGCCCATCAATTTCAGATATTCTTTTTATTATTACCAATACTTTTTTATTTATTTTATTAAATTCTTCATCATTTGATTCATCAGAATGTAGTGTAACAA